TGCAAATTTTTGCATTCAGTGAACCTTTTTAAGTTGTGACCTAAACTACACTCACCTTTCTATTGTCTATCAGAATTAGTTTGAGCTGCTTATGTCCACCTGCCTATGAGTTGCACCATCAGGATGGAGGAAATGCAAATGAACCATGAACCTTGCTAAACAGTCTATGAACTTACGTGTATGCACTCTAATGATGAATAAGCACGGATAGATCATTTAGGACAGTATGTGTCTGGGGAAAGAAAAAAGAAAAAATAAAGTGTACATTTAAGTCCTATGAGGCTACTTCACCAAATGGGAAAACTCTTGACCTTGCTATCAATTCCAGGTTCTGGAGTGGTATGTACAACCGCTTTGAAAAGGGGCTGCATCCTCGACAGTCAGTTACTGATTATCTGATGGCAGTGAAGGAAGAAACTCAGCAGCTGGAAGAAGAGCTGGAAGTCTTACAAGAGGTAATGAACAGCTGAGCTTGATATGGCAGACTTGGTAACTGATGATAAATGAAACCCAGCTCCATATGCTGCAGAGTCCCTTCCACACTACATCCTTTGCTGGAAGGAGGATGTTCAGCCATCATCTTTGTTCTCAGTTAAATTATTGTGAATGTTTTGCTTTGAAGACACAAATGTGGACTTTCTTTCTTTAAGGATAAAGTTTTACCTGTGTTGACGCACAAGTACTACTGAAAATAAGTTTAATCCTTCTGTAACTCAGAGGAAATTGTAGCTCAGAAGAATGCTGTAATTCAGCATTGGTGTGTGACAAATTGTGCACTTCTCATACTCCATAAATGCAAATAGTCAGTCTTAAAGGGTGGGTTGGGCTCTAGAAGTTTATTTAAAAAGAAAAAAAGCAAGGACATATAAGAGGATTTCTGGACCCTAAATGTGTCCACATGATAAATCCTATTTCCTTTATTTCAGAGATTGTCAAGTCTTCAGAAATCACAGTCAGGTAATAATAAAGTCAAGAGTAAGCAGCAAGACCGAAACAAACAGTTTGGAGTGTATACTTCCAACAACAGCTTAGCTAACACTCCTCAGGAGTATAGCAATGATCTGAAATCATTCCCATCCCGGAGCCCTTCGCAAGGGGATGAAGATTCCGCCCTAATTTTGACACAAGACAACCTGAAAAGCTCTGATCCTGACCTCTCTGCCAACAGTGACCAGGAGTCTGGCGTGGAGGACTTAAGCTGTAGATCCCCAAGTGGGGGTGGCTGCTTGCCTAGTGAAGACAGTGGCAAGGACTCTGATGAAGCTGTATTTCTGGCAGGCTGAAATACCTGCACAGCAGCAAGGATCCAGATGATGTAAAGTCTTATACAGTCTGGAATGACATATTTTCATCAGATGAAGAATGGAAGTGGTCTGTGGCCTAAAGAAATAATCCAAAGAAAGGGAACTGTGCAATTGTGTAAGTTAAGATCCTAGCAGAACTAGTTATTACTAATTTTAAGACATTACACTGAAGAAAGTTAATATCTGCTGTTATATTTCATTAAGCCAATATGGTGGTTGTTTTATCAATGCTGTACATAATTATTCCTTACTTTGTACATTTCCATAGTTATTTATTGGACAGGATAATAGTTCTTTTCCTAAGATGTGAAATTCCAAAGTACTCTTACACAAGGCTGAAGATGTGTTACTGTTAACCTCACTGGTGAAGCAGTCAATGCTTATTTTTGTAGACCTCATTTGCCTTCAGACATATTATGTATATTCTTCGCTTTTTTCTTCACAAGAGGTTAGAACAATTATTTTGCATATTCTCCTACTAGTACTCTTTACAGCAAAGTAAAACTAACAAATGGACACCCTGGCTCAGGGGACAAACAAGTTTTGATCCTGAAAAAAAAAAGCCCATTAATAAGCAGTTGTTGCTGCTGCATCTGAATGCATCCCATTTGTACTCAATTATCAACCAGGGTTAAAAGTTCAGTAGATTCTGTGACCAAAACTTTAAGGAATGTAACAATGCTCACACAGCCTTTGTGCTAAAACACCCCTTTGTAACAAAAGGTACACGAGGCAGTTTACTCTTGCCTCTTTGTTTTGTTATCAGGTTTGTTTGTATCTTACCCCTGTTCCAAACCACCTAGTTAAGATATACAGGGAAAAATTTAAAGGTGATAAAATCCCTGATTCTTCAGCCTATTTTCCTACATGAAAATGTTTTATTTGAGTGGGAGTGAGGTACATACCCAGTAGAGAGAATAGGGAATATCAAATCACTTACAGAAATCACTTACAAAAACATCACTCTGATTTAGTAAGTAAATGAAAGCTATGCCCATAAAGGAACTGTTACAGAGAGTATTTCTTCCAAATTTTGTTAATCAAAATAAATTAACCATAACCAACTGGTGTTTTTTATCCTCACACAAAAGTTCCCTTTTAGTATTTGCCAATCTGAACAGTGTGGCAATACTAATTTAAGAAAGGGACTGATTCACCATTCACCAGAAAGTTTAATGTCATTGAAGAATTCAGATAGTTTTAAGAACAGGAGTAATAGTTTACATAATCAGCAGTTCCGAAGTAAACCACTGAAAAATATTCAAAATTTGGAATGCCTTGAAACTCACTAAAAAGGTGGCCAGCCATATTAGGCTGAAACTCTTATTTAAAGCCAGCAGTTAAAAATGTAATTCACATGGCTGCTTTTATGTGCTTGGAGACAGTGCAGAATTGAACTCTAGCAGAGCAAAGTGGTAGTAATGTAAGTTTACTTAGATTGCATTTCACACTACTCCTTCAAGTACAGACCTACAGAAAGAACTGTATTATATAAATATACCTCAATTTAGAATAATTAGATTTTATTATTCAGTCTGCTTTTCTGGAATGGCTTTTCATTCTGTTCTGTGAACAAGTTATAGAAAGTGAATATGTAAACTTCAGTATTATTACTATCCTCTGAAGGGAGCTGCTGCCTTTGAAGAAATAATTCTTAACCGCAAGGTTTATCTTAATGTTATATTGGAAAGGCCAGATTCTCAATTTGATAAACCACTATAGCTAAATTTAAATAAAAACAAGTATAATTTATATTCCTCTGAGAATCTAGCCTTCTGATTTTAAATCTTTATGAATTTTTAATAAATTAAAGCCCTGATTTTAACCACACTCTTAGAAGTGTATTGTATTTTGAACATAGCCTGTAAACTTTATGGCATTAAAGGAAAATTTGAATGGGCTTTCTCAAACTAAGGAAACGTGCTGCAAAGTTAGCAATGAAAACACACAAATATTCTGCCAAAAAAGCTGTCTGAAAATGGGCAATGTTATTGTACAGCTTTAAAATGTAAAATTGTATATGATGATATTGTGTTCAACTAGACATGTATAGAAATAAATGCAGAAGAGCAAGATATGCAAATTCAAAGCACTGTCTTTTGTGTTGTATGCAACTCCTTGCAACTGGCTTTACAACTAAAATATTAATATATAAACATTTTCTTTATTAAGCCTTCACTTAGCAGCCCTCTGTGATGTGTCTTTTAGTCCTTGCAATTTTGCATTAACTATTACTGCTTACATTGTACTGTATGTGTTTGTGGCATTATCAGGCTAATTAGAAACACCTTCAAATAAACACTTAGGTGTTATGAAATGTTATTTCACACCAGAGAATGAAACAGATGATTGCTTTCCTGATTTTTCTAAGAGTTCTTCATTTACTCAAGAGTCACTTTGTCACCGCGATCAAGGGATTCTTTTATCTCCCCTACTCCAATATTTGAATCTAGCAGCTGCAGTTGTGGAGGAATTTACAACTGATAACTAAAAATCTGAGATTCTCATCAATTGTGTTAATTATATAGGAGCATGTTATACCCCTGTATTTGTTTTTTTTCAGTAAATGAGAAAAAAAAAAGATGAAAAGACTTCTCAATTAACTACATTGTTTTCTTGTAGCCTTGCTGCGAATTATTTGGCCCACTGCAATTTGAAATAGGACACAGATGAACGTAACTAAACTGAAAGGCCTCATTAGGTTCAGGCTGCTCTTTAGTATGAAAATGTGCCTCTAAAGGACACTGAAGGCAATGGGAACAAACAAACTTCTTTACAGATCACTATCTGAAGCACAGAAGGAAAACTATTTGCCAGCTGCTTGTATTGCTAACTCTATATAAGAAATAAATGTGGTAAACTGGTAATGGATTTTAGAAAACTGAGAAATAAAATTAATTAGCTGGAGAGCACAACAACATGGTATCATTAAAAATATAAAAGGAGAAACAAAAAGTAAAAGGAGGAAGGCAGGAAAGGAAAGCTCTTTGTAAAATCAGCAAGTAAGGCAGGGAACCACGTTCTTTGAAGACAGAAGCAAGCCAGGGCACGGGTTCACAGCATGAAAGATGTTTAATGACACAAACCAACAGTAAAACTGCAGCAACGAAGTGGGGATAGCCTTTGCAATGAAGGTAAGAATGTCATACATGCTTTTGTATGGACACTGCCCTGAACTGCATACAAGAGTTCTCAAGTAGATCACAAACATGGCCAAGGCCAGGGGCTGCTTCTGGCTGCAGGTTGAAGGCTGAGTGCAGCTTTTAGGTTGGCAGGTCACCCTTAAACTGTAGTGCAGCCAGAGGTAAACACCGCAGTGACTGAAAAATTCTCCAAGGACAGGTAAATTGTTGACAATTCATTTCGTAAGGGAGGAACATGTGCTGGAAGAGTTTAAAAGTAGGTCAGCTTATGACGGTACTAAGACACACAAAAAAATATGCCAAAGATCTAGAGCCAAGTGTACTATAAACCCTGAATTCAGAGAGGTGCAGAGTGTGGGCATCAGAAGATAAAATAAACATTCAAATTTACTCATTTAAATTGCTAGTAAAGCACCTGAAAGCAACAAATCAAATAATGTTAAATGTTAAAATAAAATGTATTAGTCTTTTAATACAAATCATTCTGTAAGGAAACTAATGAAACCTTTTGGGTCGAACAGAAACACATCCGAATTCAGGCAAGGACTAAGTCTTTTGCTAAGGTTATTCAGATAAATTTATTCTGTTTCTGAAGACTAAAGAGCACAGTTCTTTCTACTGAGGTATTCTCTCACTATTGAAATATAGTTTCTCTTTATAGCTTATTAACACATAGAAATTTGATGTCTACAGATATCTGACCAAAACAAGGAAGATGCAATACTGATTTTTTATTGTCAGAGATGCAATACTGATTTTTAAAGCCTATTTTAGTGAAAGTAGCTCCAAGAATTGCTGCTGTTTAAATGGTTGAACAGGAAAAGCTCAAACCACTCCACAGGAAGATAAAAAGTTTGTCCTTGAGTATTGTACTGCATCCACTTCCAAAACAATTCTGTATCCACTCAAAAAGTCCTGCAATACCCAACTGTATCTGTAAGTGATAAGGCTACAAGATATATTAAAATCCTAGAGCCTTTATTTGTAAGTTTAACACATTGCAGTATTTACTGTTCAGAATAATTAAGGCTGTGATACTTGACTTTGTTGCCAGAGTTTTACCTGAAGGTCTCTCAAATATCTATTTTATAAAAATTTATTCTAGTATTTGAATGGAGTAGTTAGAACGTGGACATGTATAAAACGGTAAGATTTCTAACATCCACATTTGGTCCAGGTCCTAAGTGGCAAAGCTGCCAGAGTATGTAAAGCACAAACAACAGAATTATAGTACATACAGCTTAGAACTGACTTATCAGTCTCTTGTTTGCAGTGGTGGCTGGCATGGTGCCTCCTCAGCAAGTATCACTCAGCAAGTATCACTCAGCAAAGCTGGGAGGAGCATCCAATACCCCAGAGTGCTGTGCAGCCCTTCGGAAAGGATCTCAATGGAGTAGAGGGATGGGCAGAGAGGAAATTTAACAAAATTCAACCTGGGGAAGAGTAGTTCTGGGTTCCTCAGAACAAGACATGGAGCTCCTGGAACCACTCCAGCAGAGGGCAACAAAGATAAGTGGATCGCATCACTTAAGAGAATAGCCTGAGGGAGCTGGGCCTGTTTAGGCTGGTGAAGACTGAGAGGGGACCCTGTCAATGTCTGTAAGGATCTGAAGGAAGGGTGTCAAGAGGACGGAGCCAGGCTTTTCTTTGTGGTGCAGAACAATATCACAAGAGGCAAATGGCAGAAACTGATGTCCAGAAGTTCCAGCTGATTATGAGGCAGTTCTTTACTGTGTGGGTGACTGAGCACTGGAACAGTTGCCCAGAGAGACTGTGGAGTCACCCAAACTGGAGATACTCAAGAAACATCCGGACACAATCCTGTCCCATGTATTCTAGGATGACCCTGCTTGAGCAGGGAGATTTGACCAAATGACCCAAGTGTGGGCCTTCCTAACCTGACCCATTCTGTGATTTAGCAGTAAGATCAGGTATCAAAATAAATTAAAATTAGGCAAACCCCAGACTCGATTAGCAGTTACAACACAGAATGTACACTCCCCGCTGCAACCAACTGCAACATCAGAGCTGAGCCATCTCCTTATATAGTTGACTTTCTCATTGGGAGAACACCTGAGCAGACATTGTGCAAGGCTCCCAAGAAACAAGTCATTGTACATAGCCTTTTATTCCAGATTGCTTATAAGTTCTCTTTTATATTTCAAAAACCGTTAGAATATGCATCTAACAGCAACTGCCATTCTCTTACACTTTATGGGAAACTGGATTTACACCTACACTCCATATTTTGGCAAAAATTGAGGTAAAGAAGTGTTTAATGGTGAGCTCTCAGCATGCTAAAAGCAAAAATCCCTAACTCTGATAGAGTGTTATCAGTGTTCTACCTAGTCTTCTGGTGAAAGTAGACCAGGGAAGGCACAACCAGTGTAGGACTAAAAGAAAAGAAAAACAAAACAACAACAACAAAAACCTTGAAAACCACCCCAGCCAGCATCAGGTTGGCCCCTAAAGACCATAAACAGGCTGGACATTCTTGGATGTGACAACATTTCTACAGCTAATCCAGTATACATCATCATTGAATAGAGACTTCTGTGCTTCTTTTCTAGAGGATGGGTTTGTGACTACAGAAGGGGCTAAAAATAAGGGAAAAAATCCAAAGAATAGTAACAATGACATCAGAGAATAGAAAGTAAGAAGAAAACTTAACTTTGAAATCCCTGAACAACAAACACTGAACTTGCATTGAACAGTGACATTTTCTTGTATTCTACTCCACTACCATCAGAAAGACTGCCTGGAGAAGTTCCTAATTTGAAAATTTGTTCACTAAAGTAACATAAAATGAAAAGCTGAAGTGTTCAGGACTTGTACTAGCAAATCCCCTGAAGGTGGCCTGGCTAAAGTGTTCAGTGAGAGCAGAGCACCAAAACACCTGGCAGATGAGAACAGAAGCCTCTCCTTCCATCCTGTTATAAAATATATAAAGAAGATAATAGCCCAAAACAAGATGTCTGTTCATCCATGCCTTTTCTCTGTTCACAAGAAGCAACAACAAAAAAACAGCTCTGCACAGAATTGTGTGTAGTCCTGTGTGTTAATCAGATCCTCAGAAAGAGATCAGAAGCAACAACTCAGCACAAAAATAACCTTTTGCCAAGAAGGTTACAGTGATGACTTACATTTAACTCTTCTCCAGAGCTGCAGAAATCAGACTACTCATAGACACAAGTTCAGAACCGCTTGGATGTTTACATAATCTAAGGCTTTAGTTAGCACATTAGCAGGAGTGCTATGTCAAATATACAAGCAGCACATTTTTTTGAATAAGATACTCTAAAATTATTGCTTAAGCATTCCACTTAGAAAGTGCTGATTCTTTTTCAGACACTGAAGTATCTTTTATTTGGACCACAGATCTATTTTCTTGGGACATCTAATATCAGAATTTGGATCAGCTTTAAAATAAGTCCTGTAAAATGCCAGTGAATAGTTTACTCACCCTGAGAAGCAACAGCTTAGGACAATCACACAAGTGTAATGAATGGTAGGGCTGTTCCACTAGCCTGTGGAATAGACTTCTTGCACTTACATGACTTTCCTTACTCACTTTTCTCCATTCAAAAGAAATATCACATTTTACTTGAAGAATATCAAGTTTAGGACTGAAGATCAGTGATATAAAAAAGAACTTGCTTGGACTGTAGCCTGAGATTTGAACCTGCCATGTTCTGTAATCCTATCCAGGTAACACACAGGTAGAATCTTGGCTAAGAGGTTTATCTCCAGACTGCTTCCTGACAAGAAAGAAGCAGGGATTTCTGATACATTACTTAATCAGCACTTTATCCTATTTACAACTCTCAAAACTGTACCATTCCTTCTACTCCTCCTCCCTCTTTGACTGTCTCCATGAAAACCTAATGCATTGAGAAGGTTAAGAAAAAGAACCTGTCTTCTCCCAAAAGCAAGAGAGAAAATACATGCTTGTATTTAGGATCTGTATTTTTCTCCTATAGAACACAGCATTTGGTCCTATCCATTCTCACCAGATATACCCCCATCCCAAGACTGTCAGCTTACCAGAGGCAACGATTAAAGCACAGAATTGAGTTCCACTTTCAAATTCGATCACTTGCCATACCATATGACACTATGCAACTCCAAAATTGTTTCTTAAAATTATGAAAAATAACTATTTTCCAAAGAACTGCAGAACTAGTTTTTGTAAAGTGTTTCTGAGTTCCTCAAATGATGAACATATTTATATTGCATAAAACAGAAACAGGAAGGTGACTTGCTTATTATTCCTTTATGAAAAAAAAAAGAAAATGAAATTGTTAGATGAAAATTGTGTTTAATTAGTGGTAGGTACCAAACCACTCTTGAAATCAGTGCATCAGTGCTACTATGCAACATACCAAATCTATGCCGATATCATTTATTCTATTTTGATTCCAATATAATTTTTTCAACACATCCTTTGCTTAATCCCCAATCTACTTATCCAAAACACAATACAAGTTATACTTAGTTTTCTATTATTACTTAGAAGTAAAAAACTTCTTCTTTAATATTTTGGCTTCAAGAAAAGACAGCTTGTGAATCCACTGGCAATCTCCATTAAGAACTTTTTTAGTTTCCTAAATCCTATCAACACTTGAAGTCTTCCACAGATTAAGCCAAATCTATGGTTAAAATTTAAAATACAAAAGATATGAATTATGTTTTTATAAAAATGTAAAAAGCTAGTCAAAATTACATGTTTAGATATTTAATCTCTGAACAATGGAGTATAGCAGCAGGGAACTTAAATATTGTAACTATCAACAATAAATACAAGAAATTAATGCAAAGATTGCAATAGAAGGATTCTTGAGTACAATGAGAATATAAAGAGACATTCTAATTTGTACAAAAACCATCCCAACTCTTTATACAATCTCTTCTATAAATACAACCAGATAAGATGAAATGCTTATTTGCAAATAATAGTTATTAAAAAGTGTGCTTTATTGGGGTTTTCATTCGTTCTCTTGGCAGGTGTAGCTTGCTGGAAGTCTGTAAAGACAAATTTCCATAATTAGATATTTTAATTTCTCCAGAAGTTATATTTTAAATGCAACTAACAACAGATGCAGAACATACTTGATTTCCACAGAAAGAGTGTTATTAGAACATTAAACACTGTAAGAAATCCATTAGCAGTTACCAGGTGTGTAACAATAAGGTAAATTGTTTAACAAACCAAGTTTACCTATAGCGGAGCATGAAATTGGCTGTGCATTGCTATTGCCTGTTGAAGTTTTTCCTCTTTGGCTCGTCTGCAGTGGCAGAGCTATAGAACAAGACATACAAGACTGAATTCTAAATGCAGTTTATAATAATGCATACTGCAATTTCTCCTTAATGATTTAGCTATTTTACGCCACTTGACCTACCTCTATTCCAAGCTTTGGGCTGAAAAATTATCTATACAGATAACATTATTCTATTCAAAATTGTTTATAAGAGGATTGTTTCCAATGTTACAAATGCATTTATTTGGCTCCTTTAAAGAAAGGTACACTACTTGGTAAGTTACTTTTATCACAGCATGAGCAAGAATGGTGGTTTTTGAACCTCAGTTACTTATTTGATGATAGCCATCAACAGTATTTGATTAAGAAGTTTAATAAATTAAACATTAAGGTTGTTTAATGCAACATGTCAGTTTATGTCAACCTTCCAAATCTGAAATTTACTATGTGGCTATCTTTCCCTATATCTATACAAGACAGAAGAAATTGGCACAAAAATATCTGCAACAGCACATGAATATGGTCTAATACAAGAGACCTTTGCTTGCACTCCCATCTTAAAAGTATGTGCCTTTGGACTGCAGATTATAATCTAAATAAACTGAAGCCATTTAAGGATATTCTTTCTTCTGTCAAAGCTCACTACAGCACTGTTCTGTATCACAGGACTGCTCAAACTCTTAAAAAAAGAAGTCCTAAATTTATTCACTGTGTGTTGTACATGTCTTGGGTTAGAATTACTTGTATATTACATACCGTTCTCTTTTCCATGAAACTACTAAGAAAGTCATCTATCTCTGTTTTGCCTTCCAAAAAGTCTTCTGCAATAGTATCAGACTCCTCTTCAGCTTCATGAGCAGCTACTTTAAGTCTGGCCTGCAGAGCACTTGGACTGCAACTCTAAGAAAATAAAAAGTCCAATGTAATATTAACCCATCCATTAAAACTTACATTTCCAAGAAGATAAATGACTATATAAATATGGAATATATGGATAGAGCACTATTATTACAGAAAAGCCTAAGTAACCAAATGAAGTTCCATCTCCAAGTTACAGCACAGCTTGTTAAACTAGAAAGGTTTCAATGCAAGAAAAGTGTTGCTAGTTTAGGTCTTGATACACAATCATTCACATCAATGAATAAAGTTTTTCAACTTTTACCCTATAATGTAGAAAGCATCCAGCTTGGAAATCTGACAAGTTCTCAAGTGCATGATTTCTGAATAGAACTAATATTTCAAGTGTCTTCAATAAATAGGGTCTACTTTTGAAAATCAGTTGTGAACCTGAGAAGTATAAAAAGGTAAAAAAGCACTTACTGTTCAGTTTTTAAAACCCTTGAAATAATTGTGGAGGAAAAAGAAGACAGGAAAGCAAAAAGCACCTACCCAATAAGTAGATGGGTTGCTAATCTAAATCAATAAACTCATTTTTCTGTTCTTATAAACCTCAAACATTACTTCTGTTTATTGCATACAATTTCATTATTTTTTTCTCAAATGTATCTGGGCAGTTAATCAGGACATGATTCACATCCAGTAGGAGTCTGTACAGAGCCAGAACTACAAAATTAAGGTAATTATAGATTTTAGATGCTTGGCCAAATCTTCATCTACCCTATGATGATCTACCCTATACATTTTACTTATGTACTTTAAAACCTTAACATAATCAAAAATTTCCTGTTAAAATTAATCTTGTACAAAATACAGAGAGTTCACTCTAATAAAACTAATGACTAAAATTCACTCACAATACAAGTAAAAATACTTGTTTGGTAATTTGAAGGAAAGAGAGCAGGAAATACCATGTAATGCACAGCAAACATCACATACATGAAGATACAGCACATATGGAAAAAAAGCAGAAAAATTCAACTGCTACTCCTCAACTCTCAGCCTCCTATTCATCATTAAATTGAATTAGCAAATCTAATTTAGAAAAAAGAAAAGGGACTACAGCAGAAGGATATTATGTCCTGTTCTTAAGTGGTTTCTTGCAAAAATAGGTGGTTTATCCATGTCAACTACCTCTGCCCACTTTAAAGTCAAAGGAGGCATTAGAAGTCAGACTATCCTGATTTTCAAGTGAGTAAACCTCTAGTACATTTAGATCGCCTATGAAATAATTCTGTTTGCCATCATGCAACTTTTTGGTTGGGTTTTTTCAATAGAGCATATTGCCTGAAGTGAATTGCAGAATTTAAGTTCCTGAATTATTGAGCACTTTCATCTGGTACAGTTTTACAAGCTCATTATGTTAAATGGGGACCATTAATTGAACAAGCCTTCTTTAAAAATTATTATATTCTTAAAACTGGTTTGGACTGGGATTGTCCTAAACAGCTTTAGATGTACATCACTATTTTCTTCCGGCTTTGCTTCTATTGTGGCAGTAAAAAATAAAAACTCAATGAGAAAACTCATAATTTTGCTTTTAACTTTTTGGTACATCATCCAATTTTTTTCATATTTTATGAAATACTTAATCTATTTCATATTAAACAAGAGTTTAACCAAAAGAATATTCTTAATGGTTAAAGATACACATCAAAAATTCAGATTTATCAAAGTATTCTTAAAGGATGCCAGGAGGAATTATACCTCACTAAGTTCATGCTGTCTTTGCATCTTTTTTTCAAAGGCTGCCTTCATTTGCGTGAGTTGCTCATACTAGAAGGAAGAAGAAAATGAACATTATCACCTTGAAAAAAGCCCAGATATTTCCACTCATATTTCTGAAGATGATTTTATTGTTAACTTACTTTATCTAACACTGTCTGCCTTTTTGCCTCAAGACTAGGCTCCAGCAACAAGTTTTTTTCTGAAAAATAAAATCACCATTACTACTTTTTTTTAAAGGACTTCGTTCACAAACAAAGCTATAAATGTTGATATTTTGACAGCTTACTTGCCAGCTCTTCAATGCTTTTCACTAATTCATCTCTATCAGTAATGACTTGCTTCAGCTGTGGAAGAGTCACAAACTGTTCCAGCAAGACTTCCTCTTGCTCATTCATACTGGTCAGCTGTGCTATACTGTACTCAAACAGAAAGAAAGTACATTTAAATCTGAAAACACCACATGTAAAGTAATTCATTTCTACCAAAGTTTGAGACATTTTTTGGGATTTTACAAATACATAACACTTGACCACAACTTATTTTGATCCTTTCTCCTGGATTGTGGGCTCTACTACATGCAGCAGTGAATGTAAACAGCAGCATGTTAAAAAATATCTCCCATTTCAAGCCTTACTTCCTATAATGCTACTATAGTGGGTTGACTGTGTTGAGCTAGCAGATGCCCACTCAGCTGCTCTCTCAGTCTCCCTCCTCAACAGGCTATGGAGGAAAATCTGAGGGGCTGAGATAAAAACAGTGAAGTCACTTACACAATGACACACACAAAACACAATGAGAGAAATTTAACTGAATTTATTGTCAATTACAGTAAGAGTTGGATGGTAAGCAAGAAAGGCAAAAACTGAATCACTTTGCTCCATTGTTCCTCAGGCTCAACTTCATTCCTTCATGCTTAACACTACCTCCCTCTGTCTCCCTCTCCTTGGGGCAAAGGGGGAACTGCAAGTGTAGCAGTCAGGCCCTAACAATTTATCTCTGCTTCTCCTTCCTTCTCACACTTTACCTCTGCTCCACAGACTACAATCAGTTCAGGGCAGGAGCAACTACTCCAGTCTGGGTAATACCTGGCTGCAGTTTCTTTCAAGTGAATCTGCCTGCTCCAATATTGGGTCCTTCCTGGACTGCAGTGTGGGTGACTGCTCCAGCATAGACCTCTCAGCTACACAGTACATTTTTAAAATACCTGTTCTACTGTGGTCTTTTCCAAAACTTTTGTGGGCTGTGGAAAAGTAACTGCTCTGGTACTTGGAGCACCTCCTTCTTCCCCCTTCTTCCTGACCTTGGTGTTTGCAGGATTATCACATTTTTCCATTCCTCCCCTCAATCCTCACTGACTCTGCTCTAAAATATTTTCAGAAGCAGTGCCTGCTTCACTAATAGACTCAGCAATCCTGCAGTGGGTCTGCTGCTAAACCAGCTGTGCCTGGCACAGGTGCAGCTCCTGACCCTTTCTCACAAAGGCCACTCAAAAAAGCCCCTTTACCAAAACCATGCCACCTATACAAAACAAAACTATTCAGACCAGCTGCAATACCACTCTCATTCAATTAAACAACCAACAGAAGAATCATGGAATTTTAATCCAGTCTTCTTGAAAGACCAGGCTTGATTATAATGTTTTAACAAATTACACTTCCCTGCAAAAGTCTTAATTTGTTGTTATGTGATAAGGACACTGCCAGAATTTAAAAGCTAAGTCAGCTAAACTAAACAGGCTCTTTGGGAAGTGTCAAAGGAAAAGAAAAAGCCACCCCAATTGAAAGGATAGAGTTTTCAATTGCTTAACTATGACATCACCAGAAAGATGTGAGATCTGAAGGAGTTTATAGCTATAATTTAACTTATTCTACCTCACATAACTGATCTAGGAAACTGTCTCATTAGATCTGAACAAGTTGCTAAGAGTAATAACTAATACAGGTTGTTTGAATAATGACAAACAGATGAAAATATTTGTGTAGTATATGTATAAAATATTTAGATACAGCAGTGATTAGAACTGGGACAGCAGACATATTTACCACGTGGATTTGTCTAACTCACCCTCCCCTGAACATGCTGAACTGTGCACAAAACAATTCCCCATTCACCTTGCACTACAGTCCTTTGGACTTTAGGATAATGTAATTCCAGCCTCAAGCTGTCCCATTTCCTCCTTCAAAGTCATGCTTACTGAATTACTAGAAATTAAGTCCCTTGCAAGGCCTCAGAAAATAGCAGAACACTGATAGTAAGAAAAATTAAAAATAAATACTCCTTTTCCTGGTGTTGAATCAAGTACTGCTCCTGCTGACAAAACCCTAAAGAAGCAGTACATTTGAATATAAAGCAGGGTTATTTTCTGACTCCAATACTTTGGTATGTGGTAGTTCCCCTAATTATAATTTCTACAAAACCCTTTCAGTGATGCATACAGACTTCTGACAAAAATCAGATACAGGCCAGTAGGACAGTACAGTGCTATTTAATAACTATGGAAAGTTCAGCTACTTTCTGAAAATTTACCTTAGTTCTGAGAGTTCTGGAAACGTATCAGGAACATCAGGCATCTTGTATGTAAATCCATTTTGGCCAACCTGAATCAAAATTTAGAAATGCTTAGTAGATTTCTGAAGTGCAGTTTCTTGATATTTAACCTGATTAATCAAGAACTGAATATGAGTATTTTCCAGCAACAAGAGGAGCAGGAAAAGCAGTAACAAGCAGTAGCACTAGTCTCTGAACAGAAAATAACTCAACCAATGCAACTAAATCCTTGAAGATGTTTGGGGTGACAATGTCACAAAAGATGAGTTAGTTTTTGAGTAAAATAATTCTATTTTGCCATGTGCTTCATTTGAAAGCAGTTGAATGACTGAGGAAATACACAGGAATAGTAAAACTCGCTAAGTGAGAACAGAGAAGGTGATTGATATTTGAGAGAGACATGACTCTTTCATGTGGTTTTTAGAGCTGTCATCCCTCAGAAAAGAAATGTATTAGACAAGGAAAAAACAGTTGTAGAAAATTTAAATTCCATAAAGCCACAAAAGCGGTTTTCAAGCCTAAGAAAACTTGTTTCTATAGACATGATTTGATTCGAGACTAAACATTGAGATAAAAAGTTTTTTTAAAAATAAAATTCCTTCCAGAGTTCATCAGCAAGAGGGAGCTCAAGTATAAACATACAAGATAAAACACTACATATAAAGACTTGAGACTGAACATGCCCTTACCTAATAGGTTCTGAGCAGGAAAGAAAGCAAGAAAAAAATGTTTGCTGTGGTTGGAGATACGGCTACAGCTGCCCTATGGGGGAGTGCAGCTCCAAAACAATGCCCCCTATAATCAAAGACCCTTAGCATAACACTAGTTTCATTGAAACTCAGACGAACTTGTTGCTCTGACTTCAAGTTCTAAAAAATTCTTCATCGAAGCCAGAATGACAGTTTTGTTTCCCTAGCACCAGTGAAACAATGAAGTGCACTCACTCAAGTGTTTCCTTGAGTTTTACAGCGATGCCCTGTGTGTTCCTAAGGGAACTCATATCCAGTGTCTGACAGCTTAAGTAGCAAAACTCAGCACACCGACCTGAAGCACCGCTTCCGCTGTCGGAACAGGCAGGGGCAGATCAGCAATCAAACCATAGGAGGGAGCAGCAGGCTTGTCTGTAGTGTAGCTTGAAGAAACAGATTCAGAAATGGGCATGGGTGCCATTGTTCTGTTTGTTTCTTGAGATGGATATGGAGGGAGAAATGGAAACCCCTGAGGAGCAAAAGGAGGCATTCCAGCTGGTTTGTTGAAAAGGCTAAAAACAAACAAAACCACAACCATGAGCAACCAACTGCTTACAGCTTATCTCTTGTCATTTGAATTATAATTACCAGATCACATATAAGACATAAGAATGAATTTTCAAGTGGCCATAAACTTTGTATTTTCTGTTCTCAGTTACTTCCAATGTAATAAGCCTTTCTAACACTGCAATATAGTATAGAGCTCCATTAATTTAAATTTTTGTAGGAGAAAACTACTTCTCAAAAATTTATGACAGCATGATTTTAAATTGTTTCCATCCTAAAGTTGTGAGAAAAACATCTGTGTCATACATTAGTTCTTATTTATGGTATAGCATTTAATAGCTTGGGTAACACACACATAATTACTTCTAAATAACATGAATGATTTTTTTTTTATTATTTACAATTGCAGCCACATCTAAACTTAGTATCGCTGTCAGCCATGAGAACCACAGTTGTACTGATGCATTTTGAATTTAATACAATTCTTTAAATCACACAATTTCTGCTGCACGTGGTGCAAGAGCAACTGCCCTAAGCCTGAGAGATTATGAACAGAATATGAAAAAACACAACTGCTCAGATCATGATATACAGCAAATTTCAGATTTCATCTGATAATGTAAAAATTTCTTTTTAAAGAAAATGGATATAAAGTTACATCAGGCATGTTGATGCAGTAACTCCAATGAAATCTAGTGTGTCTTCTAAAAACAATCAGTTCATCCACCATGCACATGAAATTGTGCAAGACAGGGAATCTAATTCTTCCAGTATATCCATTACATCAGTCCTGTCCCTGCCCCCTACAACTGGTTTAGTCTATTTTTTAAAAATTAATAGACATTTATTATGTTTAGATAACTTACTATGGAAATGATGTTGAGCTAGGAGCTAGAACTGGAGGATTCTTCCAAAACTCATCCAGTAAACTCTGAATAATTTTTCCAAGATCTGAATGCATTGTAAACTGGGAAAAACACAAAACAAAATCCAAACAAGAAGAAAAATTATGTTGGGAATCCAAGAATTTCAAAATATGCTGAACTTGATTGCTTATTATACCCATATGAGAGTGCTGAAAAGCTATTTCAGACATACTAGTTAATCCAAACTGTGTATACATAAGCTCCAAAAAAAGTGATAAAGTAACCCAAAACCGAACAGAAACTGTAAGTCTTTTGTATATTCCATTATCAGTGGAAAGTCAATGAAGTACCACATTTCTATTGAACAACCAAAAAACCCTACTTTAGTTACCAAGTTACATTTTTGCAAACAACAGAAGAATTTTTAAAAATTAAAATATCTGAGTACAAAGGCACTAACTACACTCTAAAAAAGTCAGAATCTCTATCCACTCTAAAAGAAAAGAGGACAAACTTGTTGACAAAAAGACCAGCCTATTAAAATCCTGAATATTCAAGCTCAAACCTTGACGCCATTCTAATAGGATTAGGCCAGAAAGAACTATGTTACAAAACTGTCTTAAAGCATCCCTCTCCTTTATTTGAAATACACTGCAATGTAATCGAAAGACCTGTGCAATTAACAATAACAAAAAAAAATAGTAATTTTCTAAGCCTTCATAACTTAGAAGAGTTTTAGATACGTGCAGTATTCAAGTCAGAAATGGTATCAGTAAAAGAATAACTAGAATAAGTACTGAACACTTCTGAATTTGTTTTCAGGCCCTGAAATACAGTTTGAAAGAGACTAGAATCTATCCTCACCTTTTTTACCAGCAGAATTAACAATAATCAAGTGTGACATGTATTAAAATTGCCATTAACAGTAGATCTGTGTGAAAGCTACAAATTATACCTACATTACTTATTAATGGACCGGTCACATATACTCCCTGCTTGTCCATTAAATGATGTCTCACAGGTGGGAAAACACTGATGACTGGTTTTTCCTGAGGAAATTGAGGTGGAAGCAAACTGCAAATACAAGAATAATTATTACTACAGTGACACCCCATGATAAAGTCTGCATAAGAAGGCTTCTTATGCAAAGAAAAATTAATTTCATAAACATTTCTATGAGAAATGTTATGGAGAACTACACAATGGATGAAGCATACAACAGGATTATTCAGTTACATAATTAGAAGTCCAACACATTGGAATACCAGACTTCTACAAAACTGAAGAGAGCATTTACTGGGCAAAATTGTAGTATAACAAAGGAGCCATTATCACAGAATATTCTGAGTTGGAAGGGATCCACAAGGATCACTGAGTCCAGCTCATAAATGCATGGCCCATACAGGCACTGGACCTGCAGCCTTGGTGTTATTAGCACATACTCTGACCAACTAATGGACAACAAAGAAGCTGCAACATAACAAGAACATTTTCAAATACAAATGTTATTCCTACAAATACAATGCAGTGTAGTCTGTAAGACTATTAGGCCAACTCTGCAGGACAAAGTAATATAAAACTTGTGAACAGAATACTATCAACATTTGCCAGTGCAAAAGTGTCCACCCAAAGTAAATTCACAGGATATTACAATAACTATTACAATAAATCACTTGAGTTATGATCCAGAAGTTTCACCTGGGTAAGAGCATGGAGTTACAGCAGACTAAGAAATTATCAATCAAGTTTATTTTTAGTGGTAGGGAATTAAAGTTATCGGAAACCCTCAAGCATTTTCCTCTAGTTACCTTCAAGTAAAATCACACAGCTATCTTAGGAACTGAGAACAGTAAAATATGACTTTGCTCTCAGCTAAACATCTGTATCTTGTACAGAGCCAATTCCACTCAGATCACTATAAGCACTAATACAAATCCAGGTTATAGCTCCTGAAATTAGTTATAAGCTAAGAACCACTTATATTCTATTACCACTTTTGTTTTTTTTTAACAATTTTAATTTTCAAGATGTGCATAGACACAGTTCACTCTACTTACATGTTAATATTAATTGTCAAGTTGTTTACAGTGAATGGCAGTCGATATTCCACATCTTTCTGTATTTCTGCAATCCTGTCAAAGAAAAATTGATAGCATCCATTTCATGGTCAATATAACAGCTAAAAGTCTAAAAGAAACAAGCATGACCTCAGACACTTGTACTCAGTTTAGTTTTGAAAAGCCCTGTAAGAACAAAATTTAAAATTTTGTTAGATTAAGTTAATAGTCTTGAGTATGCTATATTGAATATTAAGACGAAAGCAAAAAAATAGTTGATTAATCATACATGGTCACAAGCAAAGGAACTACACTAGAAGAAATCACATTATTCACACTTATGACAACAATCTCAACTTATCATTCTCCCCTTACTGGCTTATTTTAAGACAACACTTCAGTGTTTCTTTAATATACTGAATTTTATCTGGTTAAACATTTACTTTGCCAAGGCATTATATCAAGTTCACAACTAAGTATTGCTCTGCAACACTGCCTTCAGATCAATATGTAGAACATTCATTAGATTAGAGAGTTACTTTCATCAATGTAAAGCTCCAGTGACACTCAAGACCTGGGCCCTCCTAAAAGCACCAATGAGCCTTACAAAATCTAAGGCCAAATCCAAATTTGCTTTTCCCGCAACAGGTAAATTACAGAGGGAAAAAAAATCTTGAAAATAGTTACATTAATAGGAAGTAGATTACAATACTCAAAGCATTATACAATTTCTATGCACAGCAAGACTGTTTTGAAAGTGAGCACCCCAGAGCATGTGGAGGAGGTGGAGATGAAGTCTTAGCTCAGAAGTAGAATTTCTAGACAATACAATAGACAATATCTAAGCTGATAGTAAAAGACAGAAAAGCAGAAAATTAGCTTGATCTTATAAAGAATCAAAACAAACTGTAAAAGCAGACTGATTGCTTTTCCATGTATTCTTCCTGCTTGCACCTGGTTAATAATACTCTTCTCTGTAACCTAAGGATCCCTTATACAGGGGAAGGAACACAGCTCCAATGGCAAATAATGGCAGATGGGTGTTCCCAACTTTTGATCCACTTCAGAAATGCTCCTCCATTCACTGCCAGGTACACTTCATATAAATCCTTTCTCAAGAAACCCAAAACACATTACCTGCAAATGTGTGTTAAGAGTAGCACTGGGAGTATTTTGTGTCCTTCCAAAGCACTACTGGGGCATAGAATTTAAGACTTCAAAACTAAGTCTTCAAGAGCTTGGGGAACAAATGGGAGTAAGACATTAACTCAGCTATGAATCTTGCTTTCTGCAGCCTGATCTTATTCCTCTCGTAGACAACTCAGTATTTGCTCTTTCCCTGTGAAATCACACACTACTTGAAGAAAATATCAAGTATCTTCAGCACAGGAGAATTCAAATCAAGGGTTCTGCTGTGTTACACCACACACAGTGCACCTTCTCATTCTTAACTGAAGGATTCTACCCGGAATCTCTCATATGCCCATTCCTGCCCTGTAATCATCTGTCACACTTCTCATTAGCCTGTTGCAAAATCCTTTTGAGAAGGGTATATAATTACACTCCACTCATGTGGAAACTGGGGAGAAAGACGAGGACAGGGAGTGAGGAAAAAGAAAGCCAGAATCTCACTGAACTTTTCAAATGGTTATAACCCTGCTTAGGAAAAACCTTGAACTAATAACCTTAGTTGCTTCCCCAAGTGGGAATGAGTACACCAGAAAAATGACACATTCTTATCTTTGTCGAGAACAACAACATATGTAAGAAAACTCTTTTTAAAATGCAAGCTCCTAACCTGTGAGGGGTTGTGTATAGGAAAGCTGCTTTACTGAAATTAATTAATTATAGCTGCTTTACTGAAATTAAGATCACACATACCTGAGCTTTTATGACCTAAGACAACACAAACAAAGCTTGACTTAGTTAACTACACCATACCAAGAATTTTGAGCATTTTGGTGAAGAGCAACAACAATACTCAAAGGAATGACATTTGGGCAGCTACCATATCCCTACCCCTCACCTCGATTCCTGGCTACAGCATCCCTTACCCCTCTGCCTATGCTTGAGCTGCTGCCTGCACAAACAGTAGCAAACCATTTCAGCAAGCTGACTGATAAAAAATTATCTCCTTTTTGGGGACTTAATTCAGGATGAGCTCATCTTGCTGACAGATTTTTAAAAAGTGGGTATAAACAAAAGGCCAAGTAAGGGCAGCCCAACAAAAAATTTAAGTTAACTAAGCTCCTACATGCCCAGAGGAACAGCTCCTTAGAAAACTGAACTATCTCCAAAATATCTGTGAAATTGGCTCTGAACAGACTTAAGTTTATTCAAGCAACAATACTTAGAATACCATTCCTGTGTGATAATTCAAAATATTAGGAATGCAAACTATCTGCAGATATTAAACTTGGAAATGCATTTAGTATCTCTTCCACTCCTAGTGTCAGTGTGACAGGAAACATTCTCTGTCCTTTTTCTGAATTATTTTGGAGGCAGCTACTATTTCAGTTCTACAGAAATCCTGGCAAGTTGTTTGTCAGTATAATGTTTACTTCACTGTAACTATAACTTCAAACGTATGAAATGTGGATCTCCTTTTAAAACGTCAGGGGTTTTAAAAGACTAGGCAAAACAAGGCAGCACACTGCCGAGAGAGTACCTCAGGATAAACTGTTCTGCTTTAAAAATTGTTTGTTGAACAGGAGTAAACACAACTAGCTTCTTCTGACCATCTCAACAAAAACATCTAGTTTTTAAGGAGCAGCTAGTTTTTAGCAGGTAGCACTGAACACTAGGAAAAATAGTTTGTAAAGCCAGTACAGCTGCTATGCCACTGTGCCACTGCTGGCAGGCCCCTGTGACACACAACTCCTGGGTGCTCGACGCTTTAGTCTCAACTTTTAATCAACTACACCACTACAAGCAGCTTCCAGGGAGGTTTTATCCCAAGACGTAGTCGCGTCTTTTTGAAGACATCACAACCCATTAGCAGGCTTTCTGGTCAATGGCAGGTGAAACCGGGCACGGCGACCTGGGCGCCCGATCACCCGGCCAGGCCACATCAAAGCCAGCGGGGACGCCTCCCCGACAGCCAACTGCACTTTCAGTTTCCAAATTCTTCCTGCCAGCCGCCGGGGTGCCGCATCCCACCGTCCTCCGGCGGGGACCCCGCGACAGCGCAGTCCCGCCCGGCGGGACCCTTCGGCCCGGGACAGCGCGGGGCTGGGCCGGCCCGGCGAGCGCCGTCGGCTCGGGGGCCCTGTTTACCCGCACGGCCGCCAGGACCCAGCCAGGCCTCACGGGGAGGGGACGGGGCGCAGCCGGGTCGCCGTGTCCGCGCACAGGGAGACACGACAGCTACCGACACGGCGCGGCCCCGCTGCGGCCCCGGGACGGGCGACACGGTGCGGCCCTCCCGCCCCCGCGGCCGCCGCGGGCACTCACGAGGCGTGCGCGGCGCGCAGGGACTCGACCTGGCGCTGCCGCTGCTGCTGGAGGCCGGTGCGCGCGGGCGGCGCGGCGGAGGCGGCGGCGGCGCCGCCCTTGGCGAGCGGGAACAGCCAGTTCATCGCGCGCGCGGCGGCACCGGAGGGGCGCGAGCGCACCCGCGGCACCGCGCGCACCCAACCGAGCGCCCGCGCGCGCCTGCGCGCGACGGCGGCCCCGCCGCCGCCCCTGCCCCGCCCCGGAGCCGCCGCCGGCGGGGTCGCGTCAGCGCCGCGCGCCGCGACCCGAGCGGCGGAGGGGCGGGGCGAGAGGGAGGGGGGAGCGGCGGCGCGGCCGGCGATTGGCCAGAGGGGCGGGGGGAAAGGCCGCGGCGCGCGGCGATGATGTAATGGCTTTGTGCGCGCGGCGGCGGCGCGGGGCAGCAGCGCTTCCTGCGGCTGGCGGGGCCGCGCGGGGCCTGCCCGACCCGCCGCGGCCCGGCCGGAGCGCCAGCGGTGAGCGGGGCGGCGGCGCGGGCACCGCGCGGGCACCGGCACCCGGCCCTGCCGCACCCCCGGGCTCTGCGGCTCCTCCGGCCGCCCCCGGGGCCTTCACGCGCGCGGGAACCCGGCCGGCCGTGTGTCGGTTTCCGAGCGCCGCTCGCTGGTTTAGCGCGGCCCTTGGGAGCTGGAGGAGCCGCCCCCGCCTCGGGAGGCCGCCCGCGGTATCCCCGGGTTTGGCGTGATCCTCTTGCCGCTTCGTTCCCTGCTGCACGCAGCCCGGGGCTCCGCGGGAACGCGCCCTGCCGAGCCGGGGGCAGGAGCGCCGGGCACCCGGGTGCCCCCGGTAGCTGTGTCACCAGCGCGCCTTGCCGCCTTGTGCAGGAAACAGTCGCTAACGAAACTGCAGGGGCTTGGTTTCTGATGGTAATCTGAGCTCGCGTAGCCGAAGTTCTTGTGTTGGTGGCTATGTTGACCTGCTTTTGTGAATTCTACAAGGATAAAGCGTGGCTGTGGTCCTTAAGCTTTTTCTAAGTTTATTTTTCAGATAAACTAATAGTAAAAACTTAATCTTTCATGCTTTGCTTTCTTTCTTTCTTAGGCTAAAAAAATAAACAGTTGAAGTCTTCTTTATGAAACCAATCTTCGGTCAAGTGTAACTTTTGATGTATGGTCTCTAAAGGCCCCCACTATGCCAGCAGCTACCGTAGATCATAGCCAAAGAATCTGTGAAGTTTGGGCTTGTAACTTGGATGAAGAGATGAAGAAAATTCGTCAAGTTATACGGAAGTATAACTATGTAGCTATGGTAAGTGGGTGCTTGATGTCTGTCTAGCAAATTACTGCAAAAATCTTGACTTCAGCTGAGGTCAGTAAACTTCGCTCATCCTTTTATATTGAAACCATAAGGAAGTCTTAATGTTGCATTAATGCTGTATGAACATCTGGATCTTTTATCTTTTTGGAAGATAATTTTACACACAGTGCTCTTCAGCTTTGATATGGTTGTCCTGTGTTCAGGTTTTGATTCTGCTCTTGCAGGACACAGAATTTCCAGGAGTAGTTGCAAGACCTATCGGAGAATTCAGAAGCAACGCAGACTATCAGTACCAACTTTTACGCTGCAATGTTGACTTGCTGAAAATAATTCAACTAGGACTGACGTTTATGAATGAGCAAGGAGAATACCCGCCAGGAACTTCAACTTGGCAATTTAATTTTAAATTTAACTTAACGTAAGTATTCAGTTCCTGTGCTGCTAAATGTATGTTTCTGCTTTACTGAAAATGTGTAAGTGCTGTAGCAACTTCGTTGTCCATCTGATTGAAATAGTGGAATAGTGTAAATAATTCATGTAAGGAAAACTTGTCAGCCAGACATGGTGTCTTCCCTCATTTCTGTGCAGTCTGTCTTACTGTTGATAATTTGGTCAAAAATGCTAAGCAGTTTAAAAAAAAATTATGGAAGGCATTTTATAATTGGTGCAAGAGTTAGCTCTGTGTTTTTATGTTTAGCATTTTAGAGTGCTTCTGTCTTAACTTCGTTTAACTCATACTGGTTGTTATAGAAATCACATATTGTTTCTTTACATACTTTAAATGGAAAATACCAACACTTGAAGGAAAAAAAAGTGAAATTACTGAAGTGACTAAAAGAGTATGTCAAATGTTATAATTGTTCTGAATTATTTTGTCTATAAAGTCTTGGTTAAAAAGCAAGCTGACTTTTACTGTATTGGAATAGTACAATGGACTATTTCAAAATGTGATTTTTATCATTGATAAAACTTTCTAAGCATTACCCTCACTTTTACAGGGGGATCAAAAGCTTATCTGGTGCTCCAGTTATATCTTTAGCTGGTGTCAACCAAGTTACTAGTATCTTGATTTTGTTTTTTCTGGTGTAAACATAATTGGTCTGATAGATTTTGATGTGTTGATTATCTACTGAATTGAATACCAGTACAAGCACTTCTCACACATTTAAGCCTTGGGGTTTTTGGCAGTTGTGTTACAAGTTGAGAACTGGACAACTTTATATACAGGAGTTAAGTTCATAGCCTACAAAGGAGGTTTAGAGAACAGACCTTTATTTTTTTCTGCAGATGAAAAGATTTGTTTTCAAAGTAGTTGGGGTTCTTAAGAGGAAAACTGCTGCTGCCTCTCTTGATCTCTGTGCTCTTTTAAGCAAGCAGTGGTGTGGATTGTCACATATCAGTTTGATCTGAGCAATCTATTTAGTCTTGTGTGAATTGTCTCCTGAAGGAAAAGTTACTGCAGATTTAATGTTTTGGTATCTCTGAACTTACCTGGCCGTGTGAATGCTGGATGAAAGTTACCCATTTTCTTAAGTAGAAGAATATACTAATCCCACTAATTGTGGGAAAAAAATAAATTAATAGCTTCCAAACTGCGATCTGTGAAGAAGGGCCTGTGCTACACTTTATTCAGTTTCTGAGCTTCAAAGGTCTACTTAATATCAAACAACTGAAACCAAAAGTACCTTTCCATCTCTTTGTGTCAGATGCTGCAGAGATAAGACAGCTTAGTAAGGCAAGATTACCTTGTTACTAGTTGATGGTGGGGCTTATAGAAAAGTATAAACTTGATAAATACTGCATGAGATTTTTTTTTTTTTATGTGGATGGACAACTTACTTATTTTTGTCTGTTTCTAAACATCCTTTTGGGAAGTGGCACTGTGACAAGTGTTCTTCTCCTAAAGCAAAACAGCTGTTTGTTGTTCCTAGAAGGTAATTTTGTGTGTGTGGTTCCAGCCAGGTCTGGTTTTAGTGTGCTTTTAAAGAGCATAAATATTTCTCTAATCATACTATGCACACTATTAGTACAGAGCAGCACCTAGAATGAAACCTCCTTTTTGTTAAATGGTGAGTTTGTTTTGGATAGGTTCTTTAATGTACTATGGAGATAAACAGGTGTTGAGAAGCTGATGTCTCAAAGCTGGGGAACTAAAGAGCAGCTGTGCGGGAGTGAGGAAAAAAGATGTAACACATCTTGAGGATGTATGTGTATGTTTTAAAAAATGATTACTTGCTAATAGGAATAAGAAATACAGGTCTCTGAATCTAATGGTTAAGTTTGATATATTGGTTGTCTTGTCTAGCTTTCTTTTGTTTTTTATTAAAATTTAAAACTCTACATTGAAGAGACTTGAAGTAGTATGTTGTGGACAGTAAAATGAATTTTATTTTCTAAGTAGATTCATATTTACTTTTTTTTTTTTTTCTTAATTTAACCATTCCATGTTTTTGCAATGATGATACAGATAACACTTAGGGGAGAAAATAAGCTCCAAAACATGAATTTTAGCATGAAATTCTTAAGACATTGCCAAAAAAAGAAGTTAGTGTTAAAGGGAATAAACACAGAGGTAGGAGGGGGTCAAGAAAAGGTAGAAGTATTTTTATTTCATCCTCCTAAATTTTGGGTCTAAAATAGGCTTTTAAAGTTGAAGCAGATCGTTTAGAAAGAAAAAGTTAGGATTCCTGAATTCTAAGGTTTGGCTAGATTAATAAGTACTCAATTTCCAATTCTACTGCAAAAAAATGTTTTTATGAACACATTTCTAAACATTTACATAAGCTTAAACCACAAAAAACTTCTGAGAAATATTACCTACAGAACTAATCAAGTACTGGGATCTGGATTGTATTTCTCATATTTCTGCAATGTAATGTGTTAGTGCATCAACTATTAATTTAATTTGTCACAATTTAAGCAATTTATACAGATATTTTACCAAATAAGTTCTATAGATGCATTTTCATCTATAGGCTTGCAAAAGGGTGGTTACAGGTAACTGAAAGAGGAGGCGGAACTAATTTTTTAATGAAGATGGTAAGAATGGAGGTGCTGGGAGTGGTGAAATGATAATGAGGGTTAAAAAAAATACTTTGAAAAATGGTTGGTTTTGTAATTTACCTGGAACAAAGTCAGATTATTCCTGCTCTGTGCTAAGTCTGTGGAATTAATAGCAAAAAAGAATTGTTGACTCATTGAGACTTGTAGATTATGGAAATTTGCTTTTCCTCTCTGTTTTTAGAGAAGATATGTATGCTCAGGACTCTATTGAACTCTTGACGACATCTGGTATCCAGTTTAAAAAGCATGAAGAAGAAGGAATTGAGACACAGTACTTTGCAGAACTGCTCATGACATCAGGAGTTGTATTGTGTGAAGGAGTCAAGTGGCTTTCCTTTCATAGGTAAATTTTGCATGTGAAGTATTTGAGGTTTCAACATCTGGTGGGTGTTTGAATTCTAGAATTTATATTGCACATCTGCTGAGTTTAAATGCTGTGTATGTAGCCCATATCTTGGTTGGTAAGACTGAGGAAATATTTCTGCTTTAATACCTCTAACACCACTTTGTATTGGAAGAATAGAGGGCACAGGGGTTTTACTGGTGTTCTTAGCTTTAGTGTGTATGCAGTAACCAGAAAAGTGTGAAGCTGAAAAACCACAAAACTGCTAAACCAGCAGGTGGTGCTGTACATGTGCAGGTAATAACAGAAAGATTACTAAAAGCAAACTATTCCTACGCAATCCTTGAGGAAATATTGTCTGTTTCATAGGAGAGAATTATCAGTGAAGAGGTCTGTAAAACACTGTTAAATTTGTTGTAA